AATCTTTTGGGAGCTGAAGCTTGGAGTAGTAATATGTTGTGTAGTATGATTGCTTCAGAAAATACAGAATCTGGTAAGTACCCTGGGGCTTATGTTATTGCGCCGATAAAAGGTCTCGAAAATAAACGCCCAGTAACAGGCTTAGATTTTGCTTCCCTATATCCAAGTCTTATGATGACTTATAACCTCTCACCCGATAAGATTATACTATCTCGTGGAGAGGCGATAAATGCACTACGTAGTGGAAAGAAACTTCACAAGATTGAGTTTTCATTTAATGGTTGAACTATAGAAGCTTGGTCTATTCGCCATAATAATATACCTGAAGAAAAGGGTTTATATGCTAGGGTGTTGGAGAATCTATTTAATAAACGAAAGAAGATGAAAGAATGCCTTAAGGAATTAGATGAGAAAAGTTTCGAATATAGTTGCTTAGACTCAAAACAAAAGGCAGTAAAATTATATATGAATACATTTTATGGTGAGGCAGGTAATAATCTCTCTCCATTCTATCAACTTCAATTAGCGGATGGAGTTACTTCCACTGGACATCGTAATATTAAATTTGTTAGAAAATTTGTTGAAGATAAAGGATTTGGTGTTAAATATGGAGATACCGATTCTTTATATCTCACATGCCCAGAAGAGTGTTTTCAGGAGTGTGATCGAAAATATAAATTAGATCAATTCTCACAAGAAAAGTTTTGGGGGGAAATGGTAAAAATCTCTATGAAAGTAATGGCAAACCTCCGTAATGAAGTAAATACAGAGCTTGAAAAGGACAATGGAACACCTTATCTTAATATGGCATATGAGGAGGTCTTATTTCCCATAGTATTTACAGGAAAGAAAAAATACTACGGTCTTGAGCATAAAAAGGAGCCAAATTTCAATCCAGGTGAACTTTTCATTAAAGGAGTGGATATCGTAAAAAGAGGTCAATCTAAGCTCTTCCGTGATGTAGGTAAGGAAATTATGAATAGAACTTTGAAAGTCAATAATGGGGAAACGATGCATCGGATTGTTGAAAAAGTTCTTTGGGAAAATGTAGAAAAACTTTTCAAGTTAGATTATGATGAATTTATCCAGACATGTATATGGAGACCTAAAAAGGAGGTAAGCAGGGAAATATTTCTGTAGAACAATTTGTTTCACAGATGGGGGCTAGATATGGTTGCGAGGTATTGGAAAATCAACAGCTTATAAAGAAGGGTTTACCCGTCAATGAGTATTTATATAAAGTTCCCAAACCTGGTGAACGATTTAGTTACATTGTAGTAGTACCTGAAGAGATTTATGATAATTGCGGAAAAAAAATATCACAGAAAAAAGGGGACTGTATGGAATATCCAGATGTTGTAAAAAGGTTTAACAAGAAAATAAATATTGATTATTATACCAAGAGTTTATTTGCTCTTTGTGCCCATTTTATAAATTATGATGATAAATACCAACCATCACCTGAATCTTTGGCAAAAGCCTTGGATCGTAAAAAGAAATCAAAGGAGAAGAAATTGAAAAATGTTAAGGATTTATTGCAAAGCAATGACTCTCTGAGTCTAGATGAAGATGAAATAGCAAAAATTAAAGATGAAGAGTCACAGAAGTCGGCTAAAAAAATGGCTCAAAAATTATATCAAAGATTTACGTGATGCTCCGAAAAAAGATGAAGCCATTATCTCCCATTTATGGAAAGATGCTATTATACATGCCGAAAAATTGTGCTCTACTATGAATATTAGCAAAGCGGGTATAACTAGGCCTTCTACTTCAGGCGCTTCTACTTGGTATAATAAT